CTCTCTCTCTCTTACTCACACACACACACACACACACACACACATGCATGCCCAGTGTCGTGCTGAGCCTGACTCTGAGGCAGCTGGAGCCAGAGAGCTGAAGGTTGTCAGGAGACATGGCGAAGCATGTGTGTGTTTCTCACACAAAAGAGCCCCCTAATTGTTTGGGATTCATTAATGCAGCAGCTTTTCAATTGCAACCCAAGCTGTCAGGAAAAAAAATCTTTGTAGCTGGGAGAGAGGTGTATTCACACAGGCTGCAAAATAACTGTATAATTAATACTGGAGGAAACTCATTTTTCATGGTAAAGAAATGAGGACGATTCTGAATGCTATCGAGACATGAAGGTGACCACATTTGGCATGTTTTTGTGGTTACACGGAAACTGTTTGCAATGTGTGCTGGTATTTTTTCGTGGTCTTTGAGAGACAGAAGATCGACAGGGGGAGAAAAAGTGTTTCTTACCAGAGGTGCTGAGGGTGGATCCCAGTGCTGAGGGGCTCGGGGCCAGGCTGCTCTTGGAGTGGGGAGCAGGGGATGATGAAGAGGAAGAGGAGGAGGAGGAGGAGGAGGAAGAGGCAGCAGGGGAGGAGGTGCGAGCAGCAGACAGGGTGGGCGCAGGGGAGGCCAGCCGCTCTCCAGACTCCATATCTGTCAAACACAATCCAATCAGCAGGGTTACAATAGCAAAGCACACCCATCCGTACACTCACAAACACACACGCTTAAATACATACACACAAATGCATACTGTCACACCTACACAGCATGTTCTAGCAAGCGCACGCACACACACATCTCCTGACACTTTTCCTTTCACATCTCACTTCCCCTGAACAATATTTCTATTTAGCCATGCTCAATGGCTCCCAGCCTCCATTGATTCTATACTGGGTAGAAGAGAGGATGAGCTCTTTAAGGACTCTGATACCAAAGCAAGTTTTACATTTTGATATTTTGAAAAAGAATACAGGCTCTGAGAATGTGTTCTGCAGCAGGACAGTCCAGTGAGAGGTTTGAAAAAAGACAGAGGTTGGCAAAAAAAAAAAATTGAAAATTGACAAATGTTTACACATTTTTCATTTTTCTGTCATTATCAGACACACAGGGACCACACATGTACAAACTCTCTCTCTCTC